CGTCCCCAATAGCACCCCAGTCAAAAAAGAGGAGGGGGAGGAGGAGGAGGAGGAGGAGGATGAGGAGGAGGAGGAGGAGGAGGAGGAGGAGGAGGCGGAGGGAGGAGGAGGAGGAGGAGGAGGAGGAGGAGGAGGAGGAGGAGGAGGAGGGCGGAGGCGCGAGGCGGAGGCGGAGGCGGAGGCGGAGGCGAGGAGGGCGAGAGGACGGAGGAGGAGGAGGAGGAGAGCGGAGGAGAGGAGGAGGAGGAAGCGGAAGGAGGAGGAGGAGGAGGAGGAGGAGGAGGAGGACGAGGAGGAAGAGGAGGAGGAGGAGGAGGAGGAAGAAGACGAAGCAGAAGAAGAAGAATAATAACAAGAAGAAGAAGAAGAAGAATAAGAAGAAGACGAAGACGAATAATAATAATAATAATAATAATAAGAAGAAGACTAAGAAGAAGACGAATAAGAATAAGACGAATAAGAAGAATAATAAGAATAATAATAGGAAGAAGAATAAGAATAAGAAGAATAAGAAGAAGAATAAGAAGAATACTAATAATAATAATAAGAAGACGAAGAAGAATAAGACGAACAAGAAGAAGACTAATAATAATAATAAGAAGAAGAATATGAAGAATAATAAGAAGAAGAAGAAGAATACTAATAAGAAAAAGAAGGAGACAAATAAGAAGAATAATAATAATAATAATAAGAAGAAGAAGAAGAAGACGAATAAGAATAAGAAGAAGAAGAAGAAGAAGAAGAAGAAGAAAGAAGAAGAAGAAGAAGAAGAAGGAAGAGAAGGAGGGGGAGGAGGAGGAGGAGGAGAGGAGGAGGAGGCGGGAGGAGGAGGAGGAAGGAGGAGGAGGAGAGGAGGAGGAGGAGGAGGAGGAGGAGGAGGAGGAGGAGGAGGAAGAGGAGGAAGAGGAGGAGGGAGGAGGGAGGAGGAGGAGGAGGCGGAGGAGGAGAGGAGGAGGAGGAAGAGAGGAGGAGGAGGAGGAGGAAGGAGGAGGAGGAGGCGGAGGAGGAGGAGGAGGAGGGGGAGGAGGAGGAGGAGGAGGAGGAGGAGGAGGAGGAGGAGGAGGAGGAACGAAGAAGAAGAAGAAGAAGAATAAGCAGAAGAAGAAGAAGAAGAAGAATAAGACGCATAATAAGCAGAAGAAGAAGAATCATAAGAAGCAGAAGAAGCAGAAGAAGCAGACGACGCAGAATAAGAATAATAATAATAAGAAACATAATAAGCAGAAGAAGAATAATGATAATAAGAAGAATAATAATAAGAATAATAATAAGAAGAATAAGAAGAATAATAATAATAAGAAGAAGAATAAGAAGAAAAAGAAGAAAAATAAGAAGAATAATACTAATAATATGAAGAAGAATAATAATAAGAAGACGAAGAAGAATAAGAAGAATAATAATAAGAAGAAGCAGAAGCAGAAGAAGAAGAAGGAAGAAGAAGCATAAGCATAAGCAGAAGCAGAAGCAGCAGCAGAAGCAGAAGCAGAAGAAGAATAAGAAGAATAATAAGCAGAAGAAGAATAATAATAAGAAGAATAAGAAGACGAAGACTAATAATAAGCATAATAAGAAGAAGAAGAATAATAAGAAGAATAAGAAACATAATAAGAAGAATAATAGTAATACGAAGAAGAATAATAATGATTATAATAATAACATTAATAATAATATTAAGAAGAAGATGAATAAGAAGAAGAAGAATAATAATAATAATAATAAGAAAAAGAAAAAGAAGGAGAGGAAGAAGAAGAATAATAATAATAAGAAGACGAAGAAGAATAATAAGAAGAAGAAAACTAATAATAATAAGCAGAATTAGAAGCAGAAGCAGAAGCAGAAGAGTAATAATAAGAAGAATAAGAAGAAGTATCAGCATAAGAAGAAGAATAATCAGAAGAAGAAGAAGAAGCAGAAGACGAATAATAAGAATAATAATAATAAGAAGAAGAAGATGAATAATAATGATAATAAGAAAAGAATAATAAGAAGAAGAATAAGAAGAATAAGAAGAATACTAATAATAATAAGAAGAAAAATACAAATAAGAAGAATAAGAAGAATAATAAGAAGACTAACAAGAATAAGAAGAATGAGAGGAATAATAAGAAGAAGAAGAAGAAGAAGAATACTAATAAGAATAAGAAGAAGAATAAGAAGAATAAGAATAATAAGAATAATAATAAGAAGAAGAATAATAATAATAAGAAGAAGAAGAAGAATAATAAGAAGAAGAATAAGAAGAAGAAGAAGAAGAAGAAGAAGAAGAAGAAGAGGAGGAGGAGGAGGAGGAGGAAGTGCATCCTTTGTGTGCCCGCTCTCAGAAAGTGCGCCCTGGGAGTGTGATATTCTGACTTGGGATGTGCTCCCGGAAGAGGAAGAAGTGCATCTCGGGCGTGCCCGCTCGAGGAAAATGCGCCCTAGGGGGGTGGTATTTTGACTCGGGGCCCGCTCCTGGGACGCCTCTGCGGGAGGAGGAGGAGGAGGAGGAGGAGAAGGAGGAGAGGAGGAGGAGCACGAGGAGGAGGAGGAGGAGGAGGAGGAGGAGGAGGAGGAAAATGAAGAGGAGGAGGACCAGGAGGAGGAGGAGGAAGTGCATCCCGTGCGTGCCCGCTCGAGGAAAGTGCGCCCCGGCGGGCGTCGTATCTGCCCCGGCCCCCCCCCCCCTCCCCCCCCTCCTCCCCCCCCTGCGGGGAAGGGATCAAAGGGAAGGGGCTTCCCTTCGACTCCACTACGACGTCGTTATAATTTCGCTTTGGATAGCGCGCTTGAGGAGGAGAGCCCTGGGAGGGGGAGAACGGAGACGACGGAGACGACGAGTCGAACGGAGAAGCCCCTCACACACGCCGACAGGGTCGGCGGATGACGGGAAGCGCGGACGAAAGGCCCTGGCTCGAGCGATGTCGAGCGACGCAGATTTGCCAGCGGGGTCGCAAACCCCCGCGCAGCATGTAAGTGCGATGGCATTGTCACGATGTTTCGTCCTTTGCCTCCTATCGCGAGCTGTCGCAGAGCTGAATACTACGCGCTGGAGGGCCGAGCGCTGGACGGCGGCACGACCGTCCTGGAGTCTCGAGAGGTTGCCGACAATGACCGACAGAGACGAACCAGTGCACAGCATGTGGTGTTACCACCGAGCTTGCCGCACCATTCCCGCCAGAGGGCGAGAGTGGTTTAAGGGCGACCTCTACGAGGGCCAGGACGCAGTGGCGAAGCTATGCAAAATGCGCGCACACGCGCGCAGGCCTCCCTGCCGGCAGGCCTTGTGAGGGCTCGCGAGACCTCGTAGGTTGGGGTTGCGTTGTCCAAAAAAAACGCGGACGAGGAACGAGGAGCGTGGACCGTTTTTCTTAAGGGAAAACCTTTATATGGGGCTCCTGATTGCATCCCGGCCGGGCGTTGGCGGATGACGGGAAGCGCGCTTAGACTCGAAGAGTCGTGCGATGGACGTTGGTCCTGGCCCGGAGGGAAATTTATCAATTGTTGACGCTTCGCGTATCCCCAACAGCCCATCCAGAAACGATGCCCAGGGGAGTTGAGGTGATCAGTGAAATCGGGGAGCATGCAGAATAACAAAGGGCGGGGGAAGCTGTCACGTACCCCAAGAGGGGGAGGATGGAGAAGGAATCCGCGTCGGAGGGGGAGGGGGGGGAAGAGGGGGGGGGGGAGGAGGAGGAGGAGGAGGAGGAGGAGGAGGAGGAGGAGGAGGATAACGAGGAAAACGAGGAGGAGGATGTGGAGTAGGGGGAGGACGAGGAGAACGAAAAGGAGGAGAAGGAGCAGAGGGAGGAAAAGGAGGAAAAGGAGGAGAAGGAGGAGGAGGAAGAGGGGGATGATAAATTTGAGAGGACGGCGAACCGAAGAGCCAGAAGCGTCTTAAATGCATTTCGGAGATCTTCTTGAGGCTTCTTGGGGGTCTCTTGGGAGCCTCTTGGAGGCCTTTTGGGCGCCTCTTGGGGCCGTCTGGGCGCCTCTTGGGGCGCTCTTGGGGCGCTCTTGGGGGCTGTAGGGGCGCTCTTGGGGCCATCTTGGAGGAGATCGATCAACGAAAGGGGGGTCCCTAATTAGCCTCCCCCATTCAGGAGCTCCAAACATCGCCTCTTGGGGCGCTCTTGGGGCGCTCTTGGAGCGCTCTTGGGCGCTCTTGGGGCCGTCTTTGGGCTCTCTTGGGCCTCTTGTGGGGCCCTCTTGGGCCATCTTGGAGCCATCTTGAGGCCTTGGATGGCCATCGGAAGCGAAACGGGGAGAAAGCAAACAACCATGATTTTCCCAAGGTTTTGGGACGATTTTGGTCTCTTCGGGGCCTCCTTGGGGAGCTCTTTGGCTAGTTGGAGCCGTCTTGGGGCCGTCTCTGGACCTCTTGGAACCATCTTAGGGGCCATCTCGAGCGATCTTGCGCTATCTTGAGCCATCTTGGAGCTCATCTTGGGCTATTGGGGCCAAAAGAGCCGTCCGACCGCTCGGGGAACCCTCCGTCCAGGTCCAGGGGAGGGAGTAGGGGGAGGGGTACCCCCCCCCAAGGCTGTGCTGGCGAGGAGTAGTTGGGAAGCCGCAAGCGGGCGAGCCGCCAAAAACCCGAAAACGGGAAAACCCGTAAAGTCGTAAACCGGACGATTTTCGAGTAAAGTAGCGTTTTTCCCGCGATGGCCGATGTGCGCGAAAACGGGTAAACCCGTAAAGTCGTAAACCGGACGGTTTTCGCGTAAAGTAGCGTTTTCCCCGCGCTGGCCGATTGGCACGGAAACGGCCCCAGCGTTAAACGCGTAACGAGCCACGCGCTGCTTTACGACTTTGCGAATTTACGCGATTACCGAGCGGGCGGTGGCCAGGGCCGCGGACGAAAGGAGGAGGAGGAGGAGGAGGAGGAGGAGGGGGAAAAGGAGGAGGAGGACGAGGCTGGAGGAGGAGGGGGAGGAGGAGGAGGAGGAGGAGGAGGAGGAGGAGGAGGAGAAGGAGGAAAAGGAGGCTGGAGGAGGAGGGGGAGGAGGAGGAAGGTGGAGGACGACGAGGAGGCCTCTGGGTCTGTCTCGGAGCCATATTTGGGGCGCTCTTTCGGCGATTCGGGGCCGTCTTGGCCCGTCTAAGGAGCCTTTCGGGACCCACTGGGCCCGTCTTGGCACCCACTGAGCTGCAAGCGAACGACTGCGCGCTTCCGGTGCCCGCCGACGCGCCCGCGGGCGTTTGGCTCACGTTCGGCGTGGTGGAGGTGGTGGTGGTGAAGGTGTGGTGGGTGGAGGGAGGAGGGAGGGCTCCCGGCGGGACTAATTCACGGCAAGCGTTCTTTCTGTCGGCGCGCGTTCGGCGTGTCGACCAGCGAAGCGATTCATGTGATGCAGGAAAAAATCCTCATCGTCGTCGCCGCTCTCCAGGCTCGGAGGAGGCATCTAGGGCTATCTTGAGCCATCTTGGATGCCATTTTGCGTTCTCCGAGGCCCGTTTGGAGCCGTCTTGGGCCATCTTCGACGTTCCAGCGTGTCGCGATCACCCCCGCCCAGGTCCAAGGGAGGGGTTAGGGGGAGGGATAACCCTTCCGTGAAGGGGGAGAGGGAGGGGTGGAAGAGGAAACTCCCTAAACCACCTACGCCCTAAAGGGCTGGTGGGATTCTTCTCCTCCTCCTCCTCCTCCTCCTCCTTATCCAGGCTCCAAGATCCAAGCATTTGTTCGCGATGTCTCGTCGTCGTCCTCGCCCTCGTCGTCGTCGTCCTCCTCCTTCGTCTCCTCGTCCGTTTCCTCCGTCATCCTCATTTCCCTCCCTCTACGCAAGGAGGGGAATGATGATGGCGCTGGTAACATGATGGCCGAACCCCGTACTGGCGCTGCCGCGCAAAGGGAAGGGCAAGGAGCATGGTCGAGATGAAGGACTCGGGTTTTTGTCGCAAGCCTTTCTGGGCGTCCAGAGGCGCCCTGACGCATGCAGATACCTCTGCAGAGCTCGGGGGCCTCCAGGGAGGAACGGACCGAAGGGAAGGGACAGAAGGAATGGATCTCGGCTGCTGGATCTGGAGCTGCGCATTTTGCTTGACCTTCGCCGCGCCAGCCGCCGCCCACCTCCTGAACTCCACCTCTGAGTCGCCAGTCCCCCGTATCGTTGGCCCTCGCCCTTCGCCCGAGGGCCGACCACAACGCCGCGCAGCCTGGTTTGGGTTCTTGTTTTGCTATTCGTTTCGTTTTTCGTCGTTGTGTCGTTTCGTTGTTCGCTGCTGCTTTAAGCGCCCCGTTTCGTCGCTCGTTTTCGTTTGGCACTGGCTTCGTTTTAAACGTTCGTGTGAATCGTTGGGCCTCGTTTCGTTGTCCGTTGTAAACGCCATCCGTTTTGAACATCGTTGTGGTCGGTGTCTGCCTTCACCCTCTACATCCAGAGCCTCACGCGGCGGGCCCGAGGTCCTGGCGCTCATCGGCAACTGGATCAGCATGCAGAAGGACCTCAAGGCGGGAGGGGGTGCCCTCCCTCCTCCCTCGGGTTTTCGTTGTTTCTCGGAGGCCTCCTTCCTCGGGGAGGGGGGCGGATGTTTTCGTTAGTTCCTGGAGAATTTCCTCCCGGCGATGCCTTCCATTAGCTGCGCCTCGCCGAGAGCGTCCTGGGGGTGTTAGAATTGTCTCGAACGGCCGCCAGAAGCTGCAGCAATGGACTGAAGGGCAGGGGGGGGCAGAGTTCATTTCGATCCGACAGAGGCGGTTCGAGATTGACCCTGGCTGGTTCGATCCGATTCCACGGCTCGATCCAATTCCATCTCGATGTTCGGACGATCGGTGCGGCGCGATGCTTGCACGGGCGTTGAGTCGTGCACCATGGTGCGGCCGATCAGACCCGATTCCGGCTCTGTGCCTACGCGGCCTGGCCCGACGCACGGTCTTTTCCGATTCGACCTGTCTCGGGGGCGGCCAAGAGGGGGGTGACGACCAGGGGAGTGGGATCTCATGGCGGGGGTCATGACATCCCCCCAGATGTCATGTCGCCTCTTCTTGGATCAGTACGTCCCTGGCCCGCCCCTGGGCCGCGCACGCGCCGCTGGTCACGATTTGCCCTCCCCCCCCCCCCTGGACGCCCCCCTTCTTGGACGCCCCGGGCTGCCGATCCGTCTTGCCGATCCGGTGTGCGTTTTTCAGAGAGCAGCTGGATGGGAGACGGCGGAGCCTTTCTTCGGTGCTGGTGGCCCCTTCGGAGCCCTTAGCCAGGGCTCCCACGAGGGCGCGAAGTTATTCGCGCTTCGCGCTTCGCGGTCCTCGTTCCTTCTCCCCCTCCTCCCTCCTCCTCCTCGTCCTCCTTTTCTCCCTTTGGGGGGGCGGCGCGAGAGCGCGAAGTTATTCGCGCTTCGCGCTTCGCGGAGCGCGAAGCGCGAAGTTGGGAGCCCTAGCTTAGAGGGGCAGACCCTAAAGGGAGGCAGCGGAGCGTCCTGCCTCCTGGTCGCGGGCGCTTGCTGCGCCCCCGGCGGCCTGCACAGGGCGGAGGGTATGGAGGCTCGGGCCGGGCCGGCCCCCGCCGCGGGCGATCGGCAGGCCGC